AAATAGGCCAAGCGATCTATTAAATTTCACTTCACACTGCTCAGCAAATTAAATAAACTTGCAAATTGTTCCGCGTGTTGTTCCAATCAATTTTTTTAATACTTTTGTTAGGATAAAAAAAATGAACCGAAAAATTAGCAGCCATTCTTAACATTAACAGCTGTATTTCAAAACTTATGATTTGTTTCGCTTGATTTTAAAACAAAAATGCTATTGAGGGAATCGCATTTATACATATACGTTTAAAAAACATTTAATAAAATGCTAACACTAAAATAGGAAACATATAATTCCATTTTTGTTTAAACTGTTTCAATACTCAGCAGGGCAATTCCATATGTGACGGAATGACATTTTGACTTGCAAAATAACAATTAATTGAAGTTTCTATGTATCTAATTTCAAATAAAAAAAATTTTTATGCATATCATTATTATTGGCATAATGCGCTTCATAAACTAAAAAAACAGGATTTTCTATCTTTTTTACTTTTAATTTTACGAACTTTTTATTTGCGTGACGGAATGACATTTTGGCAACCAAGCTTTTGGCATGCCGCTTAGAACTGGTAGTTTCTGCGAATTTTGCAGCTATTATTTTTCTGAACTATTTTATACTTTTAGTATAATGTGTAAGCAATGTAAAATGTGAATTTGGAAAATTAACCTCAGGTTGGCTAGCAGTTATTAACATCTATTTGCTGTGACGGAATGACAAAAAGTTTAGTAGAAGAAAGCCTTCATTTAAAAAATGTTTTATTAATATGTAAATGATAAACAGAATGTAACAGATAAACAGGATTAATATTTATGTAAGAATTAGTAAAAATTTCAACAGTTTGAAAATTAGGTTGTCTCTGAAGAGGTTTTATATCTAACTTGCCAATGTCACATCTTATCTTCGTTCTCAGGAAATTTATGCATTATTAAGACATGTGACGGAATGACGTAAAAGAAGTTACTTTTATTTTATATATTAAACTTAAAATGATTATGTTTTAAATGTTTAAATTTTGTACTATATGCATATTTTTATCAAAATATTGCAAAAGAAAGATACATTTCTTTTATTTTATAAGTATTTTTCAAGAAAACAATTTGAGCACAAATGTGAACAATTCACTTGTCAGCCATGTGATTACTTTAGAATGTTGCCAGATTCAAAAAATTTAAAATTATCAAAAATGAAACGGCAATATGTAGACTATATGTAGACTTTGGCTATTTTTGAACATAGTTATAATATGCAATTCATAAAAAAAAAAATTTCACTTAAAAGTTGACACTTCCGTGGAATTGCCCAGCACTAAGTCTAGACCTGCCAACTTTTACTCTTTCTTAGAAAGTATTTCCCAAGTGGTAGTGGAAGACTAATTGAAATGCACTCGTAGATAAAGTTAACTTTTTACTATTGCTATGGCTTACATTTAATTAATTTTCTATAACTGACTCTCATATATAAGATTGATTTATTTGCCTTAGCGGTAGTCGAAATCATATAAATTTAAATTTATAAATCCAAAAACTAAAAGGAAATTTATAAGATTTATTACCACTTTAAATAAAAAAACGAAACACTACGGACAATTCGTAGTTGTTGGCAGCATTGACATTTAAACATTGAACTCCATATCATGCAGAGTGTAGGGCAAATAACAAATAACTTTGTGACTGGCAAATCTCTTGGAATATCGAGTAGAAAAAGAGCGCATATTCAGAATAGAATTTTTCATATTCCCAACCCTGCAATAACGAAAGAGACACTTTCAGTTTTTGTAATTTAATTTTTTTTAAAAATTTCTCAAGAAATACTTAAAAAGCTAATTTTGTAACTTTAGAGACGTTTAGTTCGGGTGATTTTTCATACGTACCAATAAGATTAAAAGCTTTCAGAGGTAACAGTTAAGACAGACAATAAACTACGAAAGAAAGCAACTATTTTTGAACACCCTACGCTAAAAAATTAAGCAAAAAACTTGTAACTTGCATTGTTTACTTTAGTTGTTATTTTTTTAATGACTGCATAAAATTTCATAAACCTACGGTAAATATTAATAGAGATATGGGTATTTTTATAAACAATTATTTTGCCTTGCATTTTTTTAGTATAACTTAAATATATTCAATGGAACTAAACAAAATTTTTGGAGCAATTTAAAATTAATTGCAAAATTATTGATTTAAAATTTTAAAACAAATCGTTAAAAAGTGCGCGAGATATAAGCATTTAAGGTAGTTTCCTTACACTGAGCATGCGCAGAAAAATTTACAAAAAATTTTTCATTATTTTTTTGTGAATCATATTTAACAACTAATGAAAAAAATTTGTTTTAAATATCTGAAAAATTTAAAAAGTTTCAAACAATTTTCTAAGTAATTTTTTGTATTTTTTAAAAGAAAGCTCAAAACAATCAGGGGATTTTCACAAATTTTATTTTGTATCATGAAACAAAATTAAATAACAAATGATAATACCTTTCAATAATCGTTCGAAAACCAAAATGTGATGGTATAAGGAAAGAAAACATAGTTTTAAGGGGGATGATACCCCACATTGCCGGTCTCATTTTTAATAAATCTTGTTTAATAGTACAAAATGAAATTTTTAGAAAGCCACTTTTCGTTTTGAGCTTCTCTTTAAAAGGTACAAAAACTACTTAGAAAATTGCTTAAAACTTTTTAAATTTTTAAGATACTGAAATCAAACCAATTCAAATCATTCAAATGTTTCATTAAATACCAAATACGATTCGCTACATAATTACGGGGGAGGGGGGAATTTAATGCGAAACAAAAAAGTCCTAAAACATGAACATCCGATAATTAAATCAAAAGTTAGTCTCGGTGGTCCGTTTTTAATTTTGCGCGCTCTACATTAATTCGTCTTGAAGAAACTATAAAAACACTCCGTAATCTATAATTTATACTATTATTACTAAATGTTATGTTTTAAATAATTATAAAAGTATATTTTAATAAATTTAAGTTAGATAATTAAAAAATTAGGAAGATATATTTCAAAATTTAAGAGCTTAATGTTTCTTTCAGAAACATTTATAAGCAAGACGCATAATTATTAATTATTTCTTACGTTTAGAATAAAGAACCCTTGTTTTGCTTATGATAAAAAGATAAGATTATTTTTTGTAGGATTGGCTTATAAATTTATTTTAAATCTTTTCGAATTTATTTTAAATCTTTTCTACAAATGAAATAATAGTTTTCAATTTTGTTAAGTAACTACAATTTAGGACCGATAATGTTTTGGAGAACATATCTATTTATTTGAAAAAAGAATATTTTGGTCATAGGGCAAATATTGTAAAAAATATATACATAATTTGCTGTAACGAATTCTAAAAACCACTTCCGCTTTTCAAACCAAATTCGACACCTGACCCAGAAGTTCCACTTAACTTTTAATATAATTCCAAACAAATATGGCGCCCTTTTTAGAACTAGTACTCTCATTTGGCTTCTTTTGTGGTACATTTGACACGCTTTATTGAGTAGCGGTTGACATCCTTTCCCTTTAAAAAATCCCCGTAGCTTTTATAAATAAATCTTATTTTATCAATCACACGCCGAGAATATGATTGAAGAGTGTCTACACGGTCGGTCTTCGCGTCAACTTCATTAATTTCACTTTCCAATTAGAAAAGAACTTTTTTAAGTTCCGGTTTTGCTAATGTTTTCAGAGTACGCGAAAAGAAAACGAGAATTTGGGTCTACCCGTTATTGACTTTTTAAGCAACACTACTTTTTGTTTCGTAAATTAACTGTCAATTAAATATGCACTTCCTACGCTCTGCAAATGGAATTTAATTTTGATTTATTGATTGTGGCTTAAGAAAACATGGTTGCGAAACGTTTTCATGTCTTGCCTATTACGGAGGTGTGATTAAAGAAAAATATTTATTCGCACTGCTTTTTCGAAGATTTTCTTTCGGATAAAGTTTATTTTTAAGGAAATCAATTTATTATTTTTTTATTTTATAACCGTCGTTGAACAGCCGACCAATTTTTTGGGTTTCCGACTACCAATGTTCAACTTCGTAGTCTTGTAATTTTTTTAACCTTATCCAGAAGACAAGGGAACTCCTGAATCAAGTATTGGGAGGACTTTTTTTAATAGAACTAACCCGCATTTGTGTTAAATGGAGATGAAAACCACGAAAGCCTTCCACTGTTAGTCTGACGGAAAGGGGACTCTAACCCATGATCCGCCTACTACTGAGGATATTTCACGTCAGCACAGTGGTCGGTGAGAGTCAGATGCGGAATTCGTAACGATCAGCCTTCGCTGGGATTCGAACCCGGTTCACCTCATTAGAAGGCGAACGCTCTATTCCCTGAGCCATAGCGGCTCAAGAAAATAAAATTAATTGTTTTCTGCTTTATTGCATTGCTTTTATGTATTACTTTATAAAAGAGTATTTTAACCCTTTCGTTACGGCAGCCCGCTCCGCCGAAGTTACGTAGTAATAATGCGATAGTATACTATACAATATTTATAGTTATCAATAATGATCTGGATATTATCGTATTCCATACGAATTCTTATCGTTAGTGATCGTGATATTCTCGTATTTGAAACACCTATGCGTAGTATCGGCTGTCGGTAGCCTGTATACTGCGTAAACCAGAATCTGATTTTGTTCCAAGTGTAGGAAAACTTTGTGTAGGTTAACCCTTAACGGATCAATGCCACCATATAGGCAGCATGGCAATTTCACTTCTTGTGTCAAATACTGCGCATAGAATGCTTAAAATCAATTTTTTATATCTTTATCACACTTATTGTTGTTTTATTTGCTATCAATATGAATGTAATTAATTTAATTATATTTAATTGAATAAATATAATTAATATTATAATTAATCATAATAACTTAATTAATCCTTGGAACTTGGTCGTAACAAAAGACTTCTTGTAATATGCTATATTCATTACATCGAACTTTTTCTGTATTTAAAAACTGTACTCAAACTGAACGGATGGAATAACATTGGTGAGAAACTCTTTATTACGACGAAAAATACAAAAGAGAATTGTATTTAGCAATCCATATTAGTATCCATTTTAATCTGTTTGTAAAAAGAGATCATTTGGCGAAATAGTTTCATTTCTCACAGTAAGGAGCCGATGATGTGGACCGCAAATAGAACTTCCATTGGCGCTGTTGCTGTATGTGTTGTTTGTATTTGTAGGAGTAATAGCCCATCTGCATTTTTGGGAGTTTTTCTGATGGTGTTGCGCACTCCCCTTTGTTGTACTTTTCCCACGATGAACATTCGTCTGCGGAGAAACGACAGCCGTTGTCTTTGTCCTTGATGCTCCAATAGAAGTACTCGTGTGCTCGACTGTGGCTGCAGGCCAGGCTCATAAGTTTTGCTTTAGCTTTAAAAGAACAGTCATTACTTCCATTATCATAGGAAATTACTTTATACGGAGAATTTTTTACCTCCTTATAAAGTAATGAATGTTCTAAACCAACAATCTCATAAAATGAAAGATTTTGGTTCAGCTGTTAGCGTCATTTATGGGCGATTGGCAGCTACTTCAAATTCATCCTTTAAAGAACGCTATACCACAGGAGAACTGTTTCATGGTAAATTCAGTTTCTCCTTCTTGTCTATTTTAAAGTTTAGAGAAAAGAGGTTTCAGGTGAATCTAGAATAAACTAAGAAGTCTCAAATACAAACAAATTACAGTAGGATTTCTCTCCCAATGCGTAATCCTGAGAAATCCTCTCATAATTAGTTTGCATTTTGATATTTTGAAAACTTTCCTTCATTAGAGACTTCATGGTTTACTATGAAGTCTCAAATGCAAACAAATTATAGTAGGATTTCTCTCCCAATGCGTAATCCTGAGAAATCCTCTCATAATTAGTTTGCATTTTGATATTTAAGAAAACTTTTCTTCATTAGAGACTTCATGGCTTACTATGAAGTCTCAAATGCAAACAAATTATAGTAGGATTTCTCTCCCGATGCGTAATCCTGAGAAATCCTCTCATAATTAGTTTGCATTTTGATATTTAAGAAAACTTTTCTTCGTTAGAGACTTCATGGTTTACTATGAAGTCTCAAATGCAAACAAATAATAGCAGGATTTCTCTCGTAATGCGTAACCCTGAGAAATCGTCTCATAATTAGTTTGCATTTTGATATTTAAGAAAACTTTTCTTCATTTGAGACTTCATGGTTTACTATGAAGTCTCAAATGCAAACAAATTATAGCAGGATTTCTCTCCTAATGCGTAACCCTGAGAAATCGTCTCATAATTAGTTTGCATTTTGATATTTAAGAAAACTTTCCTTCATTAGAGACTTCATGGTTTACTATAAAGTCTCAAATGCAAACAAATTATAGTAGGATTTCTCTTCCGATGCGTAATCCTGAGAAATCCTCTCATAATTAGTTTGCATTTTGATATTTTGTAAACTTTTCTTCATTAGAGACTTCACGGTTTACTATGAAGTCTCAAATGCAAACAAATTATAGCAGGATTTCTCTCCCGATGCGTAATCCTGAGAAATCCTCTCATAATTAGTTTGCATTTTGATATTTTGTAAACTTTTCTTCATTAGAGACTTCATAGTTTACTATGAAGTCTCAAATGCAAACAAATTATAGCAGGATTTCTCTTCCAATGCGTAATCCTCAGAAATCCTCTCATAATTAGTTTGCATTTCGATATTTAAGAAAACTTTTCTTCATTTGAGACTTCATGGTTTACTATGAAGTCTCAAATGCAAACAAATTATAGCAGGATTTCTCTCCCAATGCGTAATCCTGAGAAATCCTCCCATAATTTGTTTGTGGTGGAACTACCACTACGAAAATTAAACATCAATTCACTACTACATAAGACATGCTAACTTGATTCAACCTGGAGGTAACTATTCATTTATGAAGGTTGGTACTGTCTATTGGTCTATTCCCCACAAGTTTGCATTTTGATATTTTGAAATCTTTTCTGCATTAGAGACTTCATAGTTTACTAAGAAGTCTCAAATGCAAACAATTTATAGCAGGATTTCTCTCCCAATGCGTGATCATGAGAAATCCTCTCATAATTAGTTTGCATTTTGATATTTTGAAATCTTTTCTGCGTGAGAGACTTCATGGTTTACTATGAAATCTCAAATGCAAACAAATTATGTCACGATTTCTCTACCAATGCGCAATCCTGAGAAATCTTCCCATAATTAGTTTGCATTTTGATGTTTCAGAAACTATGGTTCATTTGAGACTTCATAGTTTTTTTTTAGTCACTTTAACTAAAGTCACTTTTCTCTTAACTTTAAATTGCATCTGTAGGTGAAAGAGAATTTCCTTGAAAGAGAAACTGAGAGAGAGAGAGACTTTTCTCTGCGTTGTAGCTTCCTCTTAATGATTATTGGGAGACAATAATTGTGCATGCATTACATTAGAGTGGATTCTGAATCATTGAGACAGAATTGGCGAGTGTCTTAATCTTTTGGTTCTAGTTTCTTTTAATGTCATCAAAGTTGAAATTTTTCAGGAAAAATATAATTCTTAAATCATCATAAACTGGGCAGACAGTAAGTATGTGTTCTATATCTTCATAACTCTTGCGAACTTTACAATTCGGGTCTTTACCGAACAATTTCGCTCCAGAGCTCGGCTTTAACTCCTGTCTCGCCCTCCATACCGGGCATTAAGGGAATAGATTGATAAGATTGGAAATTCATTGATATTGAAGTTGGAGTATATTTTTCGATCACTGACTTTTGGGATAAATTGGAAAATGTGTCTGCCCAAGTCAAAGTTTAAAAACACGTTTTTCAAATTTGAGGAGCTCAGCTTTAACTCCTGTCCCGCCCCCCATCCAGGGAAAACTATTGAAAGATCAGTTTAGATGATAAGAGTGAAAATTGATCTTCGAACTTGGTCGTAAGTAAAGACTTCTTGCAATATGCTATATTCATTGCATCAAACTTTTACTTTTCAAAAAAATTATGATTTGTAAAAACTGAACAGATAAAATAATATTAGTGAGAAACTCTTTATTACGACGAAAAATACAAAAGAGTATTTAGCAATGCATATTAATATCCATTTTAATCTGTTTGTAAAAAGAGATGATTTGGCGAAATAGTTTCATTTCTCACAGTAAGGAGCCGATGATGTGGACCGCAAATAGAACTTCCATTGTCGCTGTTGCTGTATGTGTTGCTTGTATTTGTAGGAGTAATAGCCCATCTGTATTTTCGGGAGTTTTTCAGCGGGTGTTGCACATTCCCCTTTGTTGTACTTTTCCCACGATGCACATTCGTCTGCGGAGAAACGACAGCCGTTGTCTTTGTCCTTGATACTCCAATAGAAGTACTCATATGCTCGACTATGGCTACAGGACAGGTCCATAAGTTTTGCCTTAGCTTTAAAAGAACAGTTATTACTTCCTTTATCATTGGAAATTACTTTATACGGAGAATTTTTTACCGCCGTATAAAGTAATGAATGTTCAAAATCAACTATCTCATAATATAAAGGCTTTTAGCTTAGTTGTTAATGTCATTTACACTGATGAGCAGAGGTTTCAGATTCATTCTTAAGAGAACACTATCCCGCGGAAGAACTGTTCCATGGTAAATTCATTTTCTCCTTTTTGGATATTTTTAAATTAAAAGTTAAGAGAGTCTGTTAGTCCAATCAGACGCAAAACCTCTAACAGGCAAACATTCGTGAACTTTTCCTGCTCTGAGATTACATTAGGGTGGATTCTGAAACATTGAGACAGGATTGGTGAGGCTGTTAGTCTGATCAAAAGCAAAACCTCTAACAGGCGAACATTCGTGAACTTTTCCTGCTCTGAGATTACATTAGGGTGGGTTCTGAAACATTGAGACAGGATTGGTGAGGCTGTTAGTCTAATCAAAAGCAAAACCTCTAACAGGCAAACATTCGTGAACTTTTCCTGCTCCGTGAAGCTGCCGTGAACCTGCTCTCACATTTTAGTTGTTAACGCTTAAGATTTTTCCAGACTACATTTTAAAAACTTTAATTTGAAAAACATGCTTTTAAACTGAAACTTGTTTAAATTATTTCGCTTTAAATATCCCCTATATCACCTATTAATCAAATATCACCTATTAATTTTTTTCAAAAATTTTTTTTTAAGTGATACACACTTTTTTTAAAATTTTCTTTAATAACTGGATAAAATTTGATTCATTTAATCCTTTTAATTTAAATCAAAATCAGCTATAATTTAGCATGTATTCAAATTTATTGATGCTCGCTTGCAACGATGTATGTTTTTCTTACAAATAAAAAGAAAAAAGGGGCTGTAAATGTCAGCCAACTTCTAGAGGGGGGCGGTGGGCAATAAACGGTTTGGGAACCACTGGTGTAGAGAATATGATCCACCTGCATAAGAATTGGAACTACCTACACCCTTCGATATTGAGCTTTAAAATAAAAGACTGCACGTTTGTTATTTTTTAATCTTATCTTCGGGTCATAGAAAGAATCCGGAATCATCTGCAATTACAAATTAGTGCAGCTCTAGTATGAGGTTAGCAAAGAGTGTAAGTAAATTTAATGAAAGAGTTTAATTAAATTTCATGTCAGAGTGTAAGTAAATTTCATGAAAGAGTGTAAGTAAATTTCATGAAAGAGTGTACGTAAATTTCCTGAAAGAGTGTAAGTAAATTTCAAGTAAGAGTGTAAGTAAATTTCATGAAGGAGTGTAAGTAAATTTCATGAAAGAGTGTAGGAAAATTTCATAAAAGAGTCTAAGTAAATTTCATGAAAGTGTGTAAGTAAATTTCATTACTCTCATCAAATCCTCCCGCAAAAATTTTCCTAAGCACTTCTGCAGGAACGAGATATGAATAGAGATCAAGTGCAATATCTAATTCTGCTTGTCCTGCAGTTTTGCATCCAGGTTGATCCTCGCCACCGTTCGGATAAAAGTCGAAATGGCCCACTTGTTGCTCAAGTCCAAAACCTAAAAGAGAGAAGGAAAAAATTGAGTATTTAACATACCGTTGATTTTTGAAATGATATCAGAAATTGCAATTTAGAGGAATGATTCTACTTTGAGAAAGGTTAATGCTTTGAGGGAAAAAATAAAGAAAAATGTATATTTTTTGCTTATTCCTTTAGATTTTTTTTGCTTGAAGTGTAAGCCTTCTAAAGTTCTAAGACGCAATAGCGCGTCGCGTTGCAAAGTAATTTACCCCTCATCATTTCTCTTATCTCATTCCTATTTCGATGAATAATTTAATATTTTGCCATGTTAAATTACTTTCTTTAAAATGATGTCAAAAAATGTACAGATTACAATTGAAACCTTTTTTGGCAATTGTTAAATACAAAATAGTAAGTAATAAATATTTTTAAAAAGTTCTTTTTTTAAAGAAATTATCCTAGGATAAATAAATTTTATAATTGGGTGCAAAATTTTTTTCAATTCACTTAAAGTTTTCACGAGATATAGCAAAATAAGCAAAGAATAAAACTAACATTAAGGGAGTCCAAAGTTTGGGCCGCCCTCCTGATCAAACTATTGTGACCATCTACCCCAGATTGCGGCTACCCCCGATTTTTGAGAATTAGAGATCTGAATCCATCGAAAAAAAGGTATGTTTATTCAGAAAAAGAACGTTTCTGTGTCTGATTTCGTAACTTAAAATATCTCCTGTATTATTAATTTTCATATTTGAGGTCACCCCCATGATCCATTAAGATTGACTTCTAGTACGTGAAATTCCGATCATTTTCAAAGTGTTCTCTTTTTTATTTTTGGCATTGTACATTTTTATATCCACCTTCTTTTCTTTAATTGATTTTTCAAAACTTCTGTCATTTTTGGAATTTGTATTAGTATGTATATATTGATATATAATGTAGATGTGATTATACCTGACACAGATCCCCAAAATTTTCCAGCCCAGTTGGTGTGGATGACATCTACGAAGTCAGCATCACTTCGATCCAATCTCTGACAGGCGGTCAGTTCATTGAAATCTGGACCGGCTGGATCCAAACCTAAAATACATGTCATTGAAATTTGTGATAAGTGTCTGTTTCTGCTGTGATCACTGTTTTAAGATTTATTTTCTTATTTTTAATGACGGGCACTTGGGTGTACTTCCCATTGGCCTCCATTATATTCCCATTGGTCGTTCTATTCCCACTGGGTCTGTTTCCCATTGATCTCCGTTCTATTCCCATTGGCCGTCTATTCCCTCAGGGTTTATTTTCCATTGGTCGTTCTATTCCCACTGGGTCTGTTTCCCATTGATCTCCGTTCTATTCCCATTGGCCGTCTATTCCCACAGGGTCTATTTTCCATTGGTCGTTCTATTCCCACTGGGTCTGTTTCCCATTGGTCTCCGTTCTATTCCCATTGGTCGTCTATTCCCACAGGGTTTATTTTCCATTGGTCGTTCTATTCCCACTGGGTCTGTTTCCCATTGATCTCCGTTCTATTCCCATTGGCCGTCTATTCCCACAGGGTTTATTTTCCATTGGTCGTTCTATTCCCACTGGGTCTGTTTCCCATTGATCTCCGTTCTATTCCCATTGGCCGTCTATTCCCACAGGGTTTATTTTCCATTGGTCGTTCTATTCCCACTGGGTCTGTTTCCCATTGATCTCCGTTCTATTCCCATTGGCCGTCTATTCCCACAGGGTTTATTTTCCATTGGTCGTTCTATTCCCACTGGGTCTGTTTCCCATTGATCTCCGTTCTATTCCCATTGGCCGTCTATTCCCACAGGGTTTATTTTCCATTGGTCGTTCTATTCCCACTGGGTCTGTTTCCCATTGATCTCCGTTCTATTCCCATTGGCCGTCTATTCCCACAGGGTTTATTTTCCATTGGTCGTTCTATTCCCACTGGGTCTGTTTCCCATTGATCTCCGTTCTATTCCCATTGGCCGTCTATTCCCACAGGGTTTATTTTCCATTGGTCGTTCTATTCCCACTGGGTCTGTTTCCCATTGATCTCCGTTCTATTCCCATTGGCCGTCTATTCCCACAGGGTTTATTTTCCATTGGTCGTTCTATTCCCACTGGGTCTGTTTCCCATTGGCCTCAGAAATGACAGAATTGCTCTCTTATCGTTACCCAGAGGGCACTTGTGGCTAAGTCACAGCAGCGGAGTATCGTCGCCCACGTCATACAGCAACTCGTTTATAGGACGGGTTACATTCACACAATCACACAGAAAGGACATAGAACACACAGAGAAAGTTGTATCCTTGCCTACGATGGTATTCGAACCTACAACCACTGGCCCCTTAGCTTAGTACAGTAACCACAAGACCAGTGATCGGCGCAGTTTCGATATTAATCAGCTATTGTACAATTTCTTTTGCAATACATTGTACTCAATTATTACATTACACAATTAATCTCATTAAATATAATGTAAGCCGACCAGCGTCCGCGGAAAACTAAAATCTGGAGGTAAAATTCTTAAACAACGAATATTTGTAAACATATTGCTTTGTCTTTCTAATTTAATAACATAATAATTTCTAATTTGGTCTCTTACAGAAATAATTTTTTAAAACAATTGGGAAGTTTATTTTTTCCTATGACCACCCGATTGATGCTCGTCTTTTAGGTATCAGTAGGGCAGATTTGTTGGACACTCTTTGAGGGGCACCCTATTAGCTGGGCCAATGTTGCTCCCATAGTAAGGACAGATAATACAGAGAATGAAAGAACATTCATGCCTTGTCCGGGATTCGAACCCAGGATATTTCTGATGTGGGGTCAGCTCACTGACCACTATACATCTGGTCGGCATAATTGGAAAGTAAAAGAGGTGAGTACTAGAATGTTCTATTTGAAGTTTTTTTAATTTTTTTTTAATTTTTTGAGGACGCTGTCAGCTTAGGTAATATCAATAGAGATTATTCCAAACTTTTTTGGAATAGGTATTATTTTTGTAAATTCGATAGAGAAAAAATTCTCTTTGTTTTCTGAATCTGTTACTACTTTTGGTAAAATTTTTGTTGCAATGTACTATTTTGCCAAGGTTCTATTTTTGTTTCATGATCAAATGCGAAGAAATACGAAATAAAGAATAGTCTACGATATGCAAAAAAAAAACTTTAAAAATTAAATCCAACGTGTTTTAATTTATACTTAAAAATAATTAAAAACAAGTTAATTAAGTTTCATTAAAGGAATTTTTCAATATGTCCGGTATCAGACAAAGATTTGGTAACCTTTGTAGACTATCTCTAATGTAAACAATCTATCTTTCAGCAGCAAGTGCTTTAGAAGATTTTACATGGCAAAACTGTTAGCCCAATTTGTAAGATCATACTTGAAGCTTTCAGAAATGGTGTTCTTTTTACCCCTGCAAAACTTACATCGACCAAACTAAATTAAAACTTCTTTCCTTCTTCAATATCACTATAATTAAACAAGTATACTTATGTAAACATAACCTGATTACTAGGATGTCAGGCTCGTGTTCACGAGAACGGGAGTTTGAATCCGACCGACCAAAGAGTCCCCGTGCATTAAATGGTGACTGGTGCATCTGATGGGGTCACAAGGTCCTCCAAGCTCACATAACTGGGTACTGAATTGGAGATTATTCGCTCTCTAGTTCAAGTCAAAATTACGATCTGTTGAGGAATGAATGGGTGCTCCCTGTAAAATAGGCTGACGTGTGTGGCTGAAGTCTTATTCTTAGCCATAGATGGCGCCACTGGAAAAACAAGAAAACTCTCTGCCTTAAAAATCATCTTGATATCAAGCAGGATTGCTGGTACTAGCTAGTGGCATTAGCAACAACAACAACAATATGTAAATATCGCAATTCCAGAGAAGGATTTTAAAATTGCTGGCATTAAAGCTAGAAAGAAGTTATTAATTTCCAATTCTTATTATTATTAATTCGAATTTTGCACGAGAAGAAGCACACCATTTCGAATAGCTTTCTAATTGTGCTAATAGTTTTACCTCGTAAAATCTTTCAAAATATGTACTGCTAAAATAAAAAAGATAAAAAGATTGTTTACATAGAGTTAGTATAGAAGTTTCGCATTTTTTCGCTCAAACCCTTGATACTGGGAAAAAAGCAAAAACCATGTTTCAAGGAATTGTAGTTAAAGTTATAAAAGTCTTCATCAACCGCGTTTTGCAAAAGTAGAATTTTGTAAAGAGTGAGATTTTAAGATAAAATATTTTGCGAAGAATCCGTTAACGGACCACAATTCCTTTTTAAAATGATTCCTGATTACGTGCATCAGTGTTTAATCAATCGGAATTACACATGAAATAGTATAATCCTAAATACCCGACAGCAGATTATATGATAACATGCTTACCGATTTCATGCATCGATATCGATAAATATATCGATATAGGTAAAAGGTAACCTTATGGTTACCCTTTACCTGCACCGTAAATCTAACCTACATCACGAGACTGGCCGATGTTGAACTTATACCATAAATTCAATCAATGGTTAATCGATATCTTAAGTCATACCGTAATCGGTAATATTACTGATAGTTCGTTATTGATAAATCGCGTAAGACATGAATCACGAAGTAAAATTCATTAATCACGTGATTACTTATTACAAAATCATTTGTACTCTACATTAGTAGGAATGTATTATGAAGAATCTGAGCAAAAAGCATATAAACGAAACTTTAAACATAAGTCACAGTTAAACTATTAGCAAGTATCAGTTAAAGAATACCTGTTATTCGCCCAACTTTGAATCCTTGATCCTTGACCCATTTTCCAGCATAACCTGAGGCATGGGCACCTAAACTGTGTCCGACAATGTGTACCTTTTTTGGATCGAAGCCGGAAATTAAACCCTGAAAATCAAAGTATTTGGGAATGAGTAATTACGCTTTAAAATTAAAGTTAAAAACATTGACGGATTTGGTTTTAAAATTCTACTTCCTTCTTCTTACACTCCTTTGAAGTTGTATTAAGTTCGTACATAGTTACCATACCGGTTTAAAATAATTTTTATTTAAACAAACTATTATGCGCAGTAAAAAAAATATTTTTTATAAGAAAAAAGAATGTTATTATACATAAACAGTTCATTATTATTTTGAATTACTTCTTTTTCCAAAGCCTACGAGCATTTTAGAAAAAAAGCATTGCTCTACCTATACTATTGGAGCAGTATGGTTCCTTATTGCGGTATCTGTAAAAAGACATACTTCTGGAACAGTAAAAAAGCTTTGGTGGTTGAGAGGACATACGATTGAAACGGTTAAAGAGCTTTGGTGGTTGAGAATAGACGTACGACTGGAACGGCAAAAGAGCTTTAATGGCTGAGATCAAATATACGACTGGAACAGTATAAAAGTTTTAGTGGTTGAGAAGACATGCGATTGGAACGGTAAAAGAGCTTTGGTGGTAGAGAATAGACATATGATTGGAACGGTAAAGGAACTTTGGTGGATAAGATCAGATATACGACTGGAACAGTATAAAAGCTTAAGTTGGTGGATGAGAATGGACATACGATTGGAACGGTAAAGGAGCTTTGATGGCTGAGATTAGATATACGACTGGAACAGTATAAAAGCTTAAGTTGGTGGATGAGAATGGACNTATTTCCCATTGGCCTCCGTTCCATTCCCATTGGCCGTTCTATTCCCACTGGGTCTATTCCCCATTGGCCTCCGTTCTATTCCCATTGTCAGTTCTATTCCCACTGGGTCTGCTTCCAATTGGCCTCCGTTCTATTCCCATTGGCCGTCTATTCTCACTGGGTCTATTTCCCATTGGCCTCCGTTCCATTCCCATTGGCCGTTCTATTCCCACTGGGTCTATTCCCCATTGGCCTCCGTTCTATTCCCATTGTCAGTTCTATTCCCACTGGGTCTGCTTCCAATTGGCCTCCGTTCTATTCCCATTGGCCGTCTATTCTCACTGGGTCTATTTCCCATTGGCCTCCGTTCCATTCCCATTGGCCGTTCTATTCCCACTGGGTCTATTCCCCATTGGCCTCCGTTCTATTCCCATTGTCAGTTCTATTCCCACTG